GCCCTGGGGACACAACCCCGGGCAGCCCAGGCTGGACCGGCCCGGCCACGCTGCCCAGGAGGGGGAAGGACGGCAAGGACGAGGCCCCAGACCCTCCTTGGGGTGCCAGAAGCCTCTGGTCCCAACACACTGGAGGGCACTGGGAGCCTCTCTGCCCCACAGCTCCTTTTGGAGCAGCAGGAGCACCTGAGATGGCTTTGGGAGCAGCCCAGGGAAACCCTGCTGAGCTCCTCGGTTGTGTCTGCAAGAAGCACCAGCTTCAGATCAATTCCAATCCCGTGTTGGCCTTGGAAAGAGCCTGAGAGTGACAGCAACGTCCCTGCTCCCCCATCCCCACAGCAAAGCAGCCTGGCACAGACCCATCCCCAGAGCTGCCTCCTCCATGTCCCCTGGCCCCTCTGGAACCAGCACCATCCCACCAACAACCTGCAGTGTCCCCAGCAGCTCTGGAAGTAGCTGGGATCTCCCTCTGCAGTGAAGATCACAGGTGTTTCTGGGCAGGTGTGCTGAAGAGCTACAAAATCACTAGAGATGTTCACATGAGGAGTACAGCTTAACACCAAAATCAGGAGTGCTTTTCCAGGCCATGCACCATCAGGTTTGCAGAACTCGTATCAGGTGTTCTGGCAAAGCCAGATTTACCAGAAAGAGCTCCCCTGATAGTTACTAAAAATGCCAATTCAGATACAGCCCCACAGAGTACCCAGGACACTGCTCTCAGGGAGGCCAAAGCAGCAGCAACATCCTCACCCTGCTGCTTCTGCTCTCTCTTCCAGCACCCACCAGCCCAGCAGAGGAGGCACTGCCGTGCCCTTGTGGCTGTTTTGTGCCACTTCCTTCAGGTCCCTTCCCAGGCACAACTCTCACCATCACCAAAGGGTTATTTTCGTGCCAGGCCAGTGAGCACAGGGAGCCTGGGCTCTAGTCCCCAACTTGGCTAACTGCAGTGGGACCATCAGCAAAACCATCCTTGTAAAATGGGGCTCACTCCTTTTGGTCACAGGTCTCCTTTGACTGGTCCAAAACAGCTCCAAGATCTTCACACCAGCTTCCATCCATGCACAAAAACCTCTTCCCCTCTTGGTAGGTTGCAGCTGGTGTTTCATACCCTTCCATCTGTATCTGTGAGCTGAAGGATTTAAATTGCTACAAGCCTTTGATAGCTCCATACCCAACAGCATCCCCTGAATACAAACCGGGAAGTCAAGGACACAACATCTGCATCTCAAAGGGGAAGGCAAGAATCCAAATGGCACGTTCACAAAGCAACTTTAACGTCGTGAATAAATAAACTCTCCTAGCAGCACCAGTGCTTCTGCAGCAGCACAACCCTCCTCAGCTCCACCAGGCTATATTTAGAAGAGAAAGAAGCTTAAATTGAGCATGTGCAACCCGAGCAGAAAGCAAGTGTTGGGAGGATGAATGGCACAGGAGTTGAGTCTTCACGGAAGCCTCAGCCCTGAGCTTTTCCCAGTCCCATGGTACTGCCCCATGGGCTTCCCCAGGGAGCCCTCCCTTTTCCATTCTGGTCCATCTGCTTGGGAGATCAGCCCCATAAAAGAACAGCCAAACAAAACCACCACAAGTCATTTTGACACCTTGCTTCAGCAGCAGTTAATGGTTACCTGCACAAGCACCCCCAGAGGACCCCCCCTCACCAGTGACCTGCAGGCAGGAAGGGCACAGCCAGCTCTGCTGAAACTCTTGGTGCTGCCAAGACCAGCCAAGGCTTGGGCAGAGTCTGGATTTCACCCAGGGAGGCTAATCTGGAACCCAAATCTAACTCACACAAGTACTTGGCTGGATCACAGCCCAAATTACTAATGCTTGGTATTACATGGTAGCAGTACTTAACTACGTGATAATAAAGTAGCTATTTCTCTGATGCTTCTAGTTTGCTTACATTTGATAATACTATTTAATGACTTCCAACTATGCCAGCTATTAATTTAAATCACTTGTGTTTTCAGTGAGCAATCCCCTATTTCCCCACCCAGTGTGTTTAGGCACAATATGAGTCTCCTGGAATTCTGGCTCTGTTTTCCCTCCATCCTCCTTCTGAGCAGCGAGACCTTCTTGGCCAACAGAAGGACACCAGGGCTGCCTGTGCATGGGCTCAGATCGAGGGAACTTGAAGATTATTTTTCTCTGACTATCCATTATCCACAAACAGAGCTTTATTGCAGTGATCTGCCCTCATTCACCCCCAAACCAGCCCATGCAGCCCCCCCAGCCCTGCTGTCTTTCCCAGCACAGGTACTGGGGCTCCCAGCAGCGCTTTGCTGGGCAGAGAGAGTTCAGGGATGTGATCCCTGCCCGGGATCAGGATGGGTTCTGGGTTTCTCTTTGCTGCTGCAATCATAGACTTTTGTTTCCTGGGCACAGAACACCTGCCCCTCCCTGGGATCACCCCAGACACGTGTCAGAGTGATGAACTGCCCGGAAGCACAATCTCCCTGTTCATATCAGGAGCATCAATAACCCCTGGCTGCTGTTATCAGCCTGAGGAAGAAACAACCCTTTCTAATTGTTCTAAAAATTGAGCTTTTCTCACGCTGCTGGGGAAGCCCAACAACCCCTGAAGGAGATGTGAACACTCACAAATTTGGCTTCACACCCTTATTCAAATACCTCAAGGCTCAGTGTAGAATCCACTCCGAGTCCCTTTGCAATGCATCACTTACAGGATAAACCTCAATTAGCTTCAGGTTCTGTCAAGACCATTTTCTTCCAAGCACCAATAACCCAGTATGTTCCTCCCAGGGATCACGAGCACAGTGAATGCTTCAGAGCCCCAAACAGGAGCAAAGCAAAGCTCAGAGGACAACCAAACCTCACTGCCAGCTCCTCCTGCACCCAACAGAAACCCCAGGTCTGCTTTGATAAAGTGCACATCTTCATTTCCAACTTTGCACAAGGGCACCAAGGTCCTCCACAAAGAGGAATAGAAATGCACATTTATAACAAAGGAGGGAATATAGTTTTTAAAAAGCATGCAGGGATTGAAAAGGCTCTGTGCAAGTCAAATCCCCTTCAGGCAGGTCTCTGAGCAATGTTTTAAGCTTCCAGCATTACAGCCTAACTTGGTACCGTGCAGCCCCAGTGCAGTCTGTCCCAGCAGACACCCACTCTGGCATCACAGACACCACGGGGCCCTCAGGAGGATTAAACAAAGAGCTAAACCTTCCGGAGCAGCCCTGGGAATTACTGCACATCCCTAATACAGCTTGAAGTGTCTCAATCCCCCCGGGACTACTGAAACTCTTAAATCAAGGCTATTAAGCCAGAGCTCCTGGCAAAGGCAAACAGGCAAGATGTGCACAGTGTGTGTCACAGCACGTGGCCCTGCCTGGCTCTGCAGGGACCTCTCCAGCAACACCTCCCCTTGGAAAACCCTTTGGGAGCAAAGATTCAGGTCTCTGAAGGAGGTGTCATTGGTCATCATGAAGCTGTCGACCCCCCCAAGCCCCGTCCCCAGCATACCTGGCTGCAGGGTGGCAGGAGGGTGCCCTGGGGTGAGAGCTGCTCCTGGCCTGGCCGGGGACAGTCCAGCTGGGTGAGGCTGCGGCATT